TCGGAATGTTTCCTCAATCTCTTAATTGACCATTTTTTTATTTCAGTGCATAACCTCATAATAGCTAATACTGGGTCTTCAAATTTTGTTCACTTTAATTCTCAATAATTCATACCGATTGAAAGGTCGAGTTTGTCATCTAATTTTTTTCGATATTTCTCGCAATTAGAGCAAAAAAAAGGAATTTCTATTGATTTATTAAATATTTTTACTTGGCATGCTTATAAATGATAAAACACGATAAAAATCCGATCCGCTATTTTTGGTGTTTTTGGCGATTTTCGGGTGATGTATCATCTGAAAATCATTGGATTCAATTTTCGCTACGTAGCTTCGTTCACTCCAGTGTTTTGAACAAAATGTATGAATTCCAAGAGGATCCCATGATCTGTTACGCACTTTGTAGGCGTTTAAAGGCCAAAATCTTTTTTTTTGTTTTTTTTGTTTTTTTTTCTAATCTCCGTCTTAGTGGATGGGCTTAGGTGGGTCAAAAAATGTTTTTTTAAAGACTACACATGTGATGAAAATTCAATGGAGGTCAAATTGACCTGGTCAATTTTTCATGCCAGGAGTTTTAAGTTTCAGTAGTGTCCCCCCTTGAAGGTGCAGTGGTCTTAAGAGTCTGGCTACGTTATAAGAATGGATCCAAAGTTCTAGAGGGTCAAACTTGAGAGACAAGCGGAGTGATCAAGAGGGTCAAACGTATTCCGATTCATGGGGTAGAAACGAACGCAGAGGAAAAAAGTTTCCAATTTCACCCAACTGCCAAGAGCAAAAAGTACTGGGTTTCAGGGGATTTTTCGTTCATTCTAGAATTGTTTTCTGTAAGGATCATAGTACTAAGTTCCAGCTCTCAGGAATATCTAGTTGAAGTTCTCATTAATTTCTGAGTACTGTTGTTGCATGAATAACACAGTCCGACAAAATTCGGGAATTTTTGGGCTCAGGGATGGGACTGCCCTTACTCGAAATATTGTTGCTCGCTGATTTCAAATCCGCCAGCTCAATCTCTTAAAATGACCTAGTTCCTGAGAAAAAAAATGTTAAAGTTCCAAACATGCCCCAAAATCGCTATTTTCAATAATTACCCTGGGAATCCAGGAGCCACGCTACAGCCACGGTATTTGCGTGGCTGTTGCGTGGCAATTAGGATTGTCATTTTCTGGGGCTAAAAAGGGGGAAATGATATCTCAAGAAAAAAACACAATAAAAGTGGATAGACGAATTATTAGTTTATATTTGCACTGTTTATTACATTGTTTTCTATCAATTGATTGAAATTAATGTGAGTGTATATAATGATAATACAAGATCCGTAGGGGGAATGCCGGGAGATGGCGGCAGTGTCGATATCCCAACGGGGTCGGTCAAGTCGACAGGAGTCGCAGCCAGAATAAGTGAGACTCCAACAGAGGTGGGGCGCCACGGTCGATTCTAACGGCTGGGCGAGCAGCCTGTGCCGGTAACTCGGCAGTAGGGCCAGAAGAAGAATATCCATGGATTTTTGGAGTGGGGGACAAGCATATGAGTGGGAATTACGTAGAGTGGGAGTATCCTGGGCAGGGAAAACATCTGCTAGAAGCCCTATAGCAGTCAGGCTGTCACAGGGGTAGGTTCGACGGGGGGTTTATGTCCTCCTTGTCATCAATGTTTACTTTAGGTTTTTCCCCATCTATCAACCCCCGTTTCATCCCTTAATCTTTGTTATAAAAAAATTAAAACTGCAACGAAAGTCACGGTGCTATGAGAAACCCAATGGTTTCTCGGCGCAGAGTGCCACCCCAATAATTCGCCCGCCAATTAAAAAATCGTCTCTCCCCTCGTAATTAACATTAAGGAATGAAACCAACGCTGTTCGATNGGCTGTCACAGGGGTAGGTTCGACGGGGGGTTTATGTCCTCCTTGTCATCAATGTTTACTTTAGGTTTTTCCCCATCTATCAACCCCCGTTTCATCCCTTAATCTTTGTTATAAAAAAATTAAAACTGCAACGAAAGTCACGGTGCTATGAGAAACCCAATGGTTTCTCGGCGCAGAGTGACTGCGACGCAATTTACCGCGCTATGAAAAACTTAATGGATAACTCGCCCGCCAATTAAAAAATCGTCTCTCCCCTCATAATTAACATTAAGGAATGAAACCAATGCTGTTCGATGGAGAATTAAATTCCCCATACAGCAACCCCCGTTTCATCCCTTAATCTCTGTAATCAAAAAATAAAAACTGCGACGAAAGTCGCGGCGCTGTGCAAAAGCTAATGGTTTCTCGGCGCAGTGACTCCCGATACATCTCCCGGTAATTAAAAAATCGTCTCACCCCTCCTAATTAACATTAAGGAATGAAACCAACGCTGTTCCATGGAGAATTAAATTCCCCATCCAGCAACCCCCGTTTGATCTCTTAATC